GCATGTGCCATGGTTGCTTAGAGACTATTACACAAAAATTTTAGCATGTGATCAAGTTTGAAACAAGGTGTTGACGGGGTAAACACAGCTGAAAAGCTCATGGTAGTACCAAACATGACTTTGGAGGTTTTCCTTCTTTTATTTCTTTTGCATAGGTTATTCATGGACAGGGGCGTAGCCAGCCATTTTTCCTTTTATGCCCGAGCTGTAGAAGTTCTGAAAGAGTGACTGAGGGGGAGTGGGGAAGAGGACATAAATTAAAAAGTATGCCAAGTTAACGCTGACCTACAAACAAGTACAACACAGCCATTCCTTTTTGCTTTAAAATCTTGTGACAAATGAATCATTAGCAATGACTGGACTCTAGAGGTCATAATTAAAAGGGAGGGGGGAGGTGGGGGTTGAGGACACACAGTAGTAGCTAGCCAAGTTTAAGCTGACTTGAGTAATTAGTAGTATTATCAACAGAAAGCGTCTTTCAGTTAAAGAGAATTCTGTCACACTGAGCAACTGGTTGTCCACATAAGACGTGTTTGGAGCTAGAGATCTGTTGTTTTCTTCGTATTGTTGACTGCAAGCAGTCTCTGAAGTCATAGTGGACACTGACATGTTATGGTGATAAAAAAAAATGAACACAGTGGCGACTTTTTCAGCTGTGAGGTCTTCAACTGATTTGCTCAGTGTGGGTTTATCTCGGTGTAAGAACCTGTGAACTTTTTCTTTGTTATGTTCCTTTTGTTTTTCTAGGTTTTATTGTGTATACTTCTTTGTTTTCTTTGTTTTATGTCACCGATGAGTTTAAAAGGTTCTCACACCGAGGATGAGCCCTCAGTGTATCCTCCTAATCGTGAAAGAAGATTGTAGCATATGTAAACATTTAGGTCTGTCATTCCTAATCCCCATGTTTGCATAATCGAGTTGGCAATGGTGTGCTAGTTGGTGAAATAATCCTGGTTAAATATCAATCATTTCTGGCTAAATCTGTAGGGACACTACAAAGATAAAGGCAAGGCAGCTGTGTCAGTTCAAATTTACTATAAAATAAGACTCTACTTAGCTCTGAAATATGAGTCATGGTGACAACATAGAATTGCAGAGAGCTGCTGGATTAAAGATTGATTAGTATAAAGTTAGGTAATAAAAGAAAAGTACTAGGAAGATTCATTCAGATGGACTGGTTTGTCCTAAGTTGAGTTTTAACATTGATCAATGCAGAATAAATATTGTTAGTAAAATCCAACTAGTGGTCTATCATCAATGCTGCATTCTGATTGGTTGAGCTGATATTAGGCTATATGTTATAGCCCACTAGTAGTGAAAAGCACTGGCTTTTTGGTGGCAGAAAAGGATTAAAGTCTAGCTTTATCTAGCTAAAGTTGTTATGTCTTGATATTTTTTGACCAACTAGTTGGATTTTACTAAAACAAAATTTATTATTATTCCTCTCGCCGTCATGGCCTCTGAGTCAATAGTCCATTCGGCCGACTCACAGCCCATTCGGGCTCGAGGAATAATTGTTAATTAAGGTGGCTCCACTGGATTTTTTGGGGTTGATACCTCCCAAGTTTGAGCATTAACTACGTCGCCATGAATAGAGATAGGGAAAAAAAGTTACCACAACTTTTTTATATAAAGATGAAAATTAATCAAGAGTTCTTTTTTATGCAAATTTATATCTCTTGCTAGTTGTGCATGTGCATATGAAACTTGAAAACAATGCCAGTGAATAATGAGGACGCTCGCTTGTAAACACAAAATCTGGGGGGGAAATTGGCTATATTTGAGGCCCTATTTAAAAGCCTTCCCTGTTTTCAATGTTCGTAAAACTTGCAGGGAATATTTGTTGACGATTGATCTCGAAATTTTCGAATTTATAAAAAAATTTATCGAGCGGTTTTTGGAAAAATGCCAAATTTTTAGGCACGGACCAAATTACGTCCAAAAACTGTATCAAAAGCAGCTGAATGCTAGTTAATAAAATCCTTCTTATTCGCGATCGCCCAGAGCAATTCCCCTCTTTTTTTGGTATGCAGTTTTCAATAGAATCAAAACACTATGAGAAGAAGCCACGTTCCCAAAGCTTATCATTTCCTTAAAATATTAGCGAATTGTGCGGCTAGCATGCTATTTCACTGTTTTTATGATTCTTAAAACTGCATTTCAAAATATTTCGAAACGCTCTCATAGAATTTCTTCAAACTTTGCAATAATGGAGGCAATAATGGTGGGTACATACTCCCTTAAGCGATTTCTTCAAAAAACTCCTGGTACAGAGAAACACAAAGATAAATGAAAAACGTAATGGCGTCATTACGTTGCTATGGCGACTCCGATTGCAATAAAACCCAGATCATAAGAAATTTTCATCTTTATATAATACAGTTGTGGTAACTTTTTTTCCATATCTTTACTCATGCCGACGTAGTTAATGCTCAAACTTGGGAGGTATCCCCCCAAAAAAATCCAGTCGAGCCACCTTAACTGGGGATATGAAATAGTATACTTTTGTGAGAGCCACTTGCTATTTGTCTATACTATGTCTTATTTCAAACTCATGGCCAATTCTAAAGCGTTAGTCCCTAGATCAGTCTTAGATTAAAAAAGAATTTAAAACGTACAAGGGAAAAATGATTTACTAGATCAAGATCATTCTCTTGGCATTGATACAATCCACTTTGTTTTTCTTTGGACTGGAGTGTGATGACCTATTGTTCGTCAGTTGGTAATTGAGACTGTATTGACCGCAGATGTTCTCTTAAGATATGTGCAAGAGCCTCAGGGGGCTCAAGAAACAGTAAGTTGACAATACAAGAAGCATGTGTTTTGCAAAGCATTGTCCACAAAGGCTGTCCACGAGTGTGTTCGGCTTCATCAAAGTCTGTTTCGGCCCGTAGCAGAGGGCTCTTTTCCTCCCACCCGACGAATACCAGGGAAATGAGACTTCTGCTAGCAGGGAACTAAATAATTGTCCATGATTTTGAAGATCAAAGTATCGAATGGCCATAGCTTTTAAAATTTGTATGATTAGCACTGTCTCATGTGAACGATACACCCAAATGCGCCAATTATGTTAAGTGGAGAAACTGTCATGGGGTGTGAATGTAGCCCTTAATTATCAACCATGCAGTGTAACTTGGTGCACTTGGAAAAAAACATATCAGAAAAGACTATATGGAAACTAGTAAGGAGGGGTGCCTGAAAGGTGGAAGAACAAGTGTAACTAGTTTTCAGGTTTCCACCTGCAACCTGCAACTTATACACCCTCCCTTATCTCAGTTTATCTGTGACAGAATATCAGTGGGGCAATTTGTAATGGTAACAGGACTGAGTGGAGTCCAATTCGGTCTGTAATCATACGAGTGGTTAACAAAATCAGACGACCGCGTAGCGGGAGTCCGATTTGTTTAATCACGAGTATGATTACAGACCGAATTGGACGACAAGAAGTTCTGTTACCAATTAATCATAACTTTAACAAAATTTGTGATATAATAGGCCATTTTTTTAAATCAAAACACAAGAAATTTGAACTTTTGTTTTGCTAGCAGTGAAAAAAAAAAAAAACATTTAAGCGCGAACGTGATGGCGCATACTGTCCAATTACTTAGGCATGACGCGTACTGTCCTATCAAACTTTCCAATTAAGGCTGAAATCAGGGCAGTTGATAGCCAATCAGATTTGAGAATTTTGTTATAGTTATGATTAGGATTATAACTTGGTTGATTTGGGCAAGCTGAAGCTAGCATTTACTAGCACAAGCGTCCTTTCAACTAGTCCCAGATGCTTTTGATTTCATAGTTCTTCTGTAGTTCGAATTGCTCAAAAAACATCACTTGCCCGTCGGGCAAGTTAACAACAGAATTCACTAGCCAAATCCACTACTTTCTTTGCACACTGCTGCAAAAATAATGTAATATTTTGTGGTCGATAACTGTTCAGTTTTTGTTGTAACTATAGTGAAGGTCATATGAAAAGCCCAAGAAAAATAAAAAAAGAATAGCTAGGTCATCAGATTAGTTATAAATTAAACTTAAGTATTACGAAAACTATTAAAAACAAAACAGTGAATTATTATGACTGTTGAACGCAAATACAGTGGAACCTTGATATAACTAACCTCTCTTTAACAAAGTCCTCGGTATGACGAACAATTTTCTCACCAGTTTTAGTAAAAAAGAGAAAAAGAACCTCGATATGAAACCTTGTTTATAATACAACCAAACAAATTTTGCCAGCCAAGCGTTCAGAACCGAAAATCCCTTAATGTACTTTCCCTGATCAAACCATGGCTTCTCATTACTGCAAATTACGTGTGTAAGCCAATCAAAACAGCGATAAACGTAACCGCGCAAATTAACCGCGCCGAAAGAAGAGAACGGGGGAATGTAGTGAACAAACTGGGGAACTCAGCTGTTTTTGCACATTTTGTGAAAGGAATTTATGCCGTTTGAAAGAAAAAGTGTTTCGACATTCATGGTTGAAACTGTATGGAACTAGCAGCTGTTTTAGTGGAGGTTTTTCCAAACGCCTGCGCCTCTGCGTTCGCGAGGTCGTTTTTTCACCGACGAAAGGTTTTGATCCTGGACCAGTTTCGTGTGTCCCATGCAGTGTGACCAGCGCGCTGAGTGACCTCGAACATTAATTTTGCTTTCGACGTTACTGCAGGAAAAAAAATTCCATCAGAACTGATATTTTCAGCATCTGTTCTAAGTTTTGTTACTCCCAGTCGGCCGCAGATTTCATACAAGAGCTGACTGGAACGCCATCATGCAAACGTTGATCTGGAGGAATGTCGGTCGTTTCGTCTACAAGTCCTTCGATATCTACCTCAGATGAATAGTTGAAGTTGGTGGAGAAATTGCGCCTGGGTGGTTTTTCGTGCTTCAGCAGTGTGTGTTCATTCCCAGCCATCTTCACAGAATGCAAAAAATGCGTCATTTTAGAGCGACAAGACGACAGTGAAATGTTGAACATTACTTGAACTGAAGAGGACTGCCAAGTAAGTGGAAGAATTCTCTGTCTTTTTCAATGCGTTTTAACTGTTTGCCCGTGACCGTCCACCGGAAAGTGGAAAAACACGGTGAATGCGGCGGCCCCAAGGCAAATTTATTCGATTTAACGCCGCGGCGTCTATTAAATTTTCAGCGTTTCCCATGTGGCCCAGCCCCCCTGGCCTACTGCGGGGCATTTGCCCGCCTTGCCAGTCCTTCAGGGCGGAAAAACGTAATGAGCATGCGTGAACTTTTTTGCCCAGATCTCCTGGCTGGGCTTGAAAAAATGGCGGGATTTCAAATATTTTATTGCCCAAAAATAAAATGTTTCCACTCATAACCTGGAAAGAACCGGTAATTTGTCTTCAAAAGTTGCAAGCTGTGGTTATAACCTTGAAAATACTTAATTTTCTCGAAGAATACTTCATAGTAAAACGGACTTTAACGACATTTATTTCCTTGCGTTGTACTTTAAATGTGCATGCGTAGGTCGGATTTTTTTCAAAATGCATTCACAAAAAGTGTTCATATAAGGAAGTTCCTGGATATACAAGGTCCGGAGCTCCACTGTGGACACAAAAACAACATATCTTTGGACAGTGATTTGCCCAAAAAAATTAACGCTTGCCCACAATGTGTTTGAAGTCATTGAACTTTGTTGCACTCGAGCTGATATTTTAAAACCCTCGCTCGATCGGACACTCGTAGTTTCGCAGATCACTAAAATATAAACAAAATCCTCAATGTAGAAGTTATTGCGTTGATATGTGGGCAGAAAAAAGGTCAATCTTTACCTAGTAAAATCTTCCCAAAAATCGGTTTCAAAGCAACTATAGTTTTTTAAACTTGCTCGTTTCGCGCAGATATATAAATTTTGCTTTGTGTTGTCAAGTTGAACACGCATAACATATGTGAAAAACCTACGAGTAAGTAGGATTTCCTTCAAACACAGTTAAAGTTACATTATTTCAAAAACTTGTTGCTGACAATGAAGAAATGAATTTTCTGTGCGACAACAACCTACCTAAAGATCTTGAAAGCAAAAGATCAGTTGCAACTTGGAAGCCAAGCCATGATTCACCATTTGGCTATTTTCAATAAGCTTAACTGGTCCATGCGAGAGTCTTCGTTTAACAAATTAAACTCAGCAGATCATTAGAAAATACAGAAAATTGCACATATGGGTTTGTTTTGCTCGCCTCAGTCAAATCAAGCGGCAGCAACTGTTTACAGAAAAAGAGTCAATTGTTTTGAAGTCACTGCCGGCAGTTCTCCACTTCACAGCGAGTGAAAAGGACAATTTGCGTACAGAAAGTTATTCTTATAAAGAACAGAAACCTTCACAGTGCACTGGAAAACAAAACTATGTAATGAAAAATGAAAAAAACTCTGACTATTATTACTTGAGCAAGCTTTGAGCAACAGAAAAATGATCTTGAGTAAGCTTGCTGGCCTTCTATTTCCGAGAAAGTTTAATAAGCGCACAAGTTTGCTCACTCTGATGCGTTATATTAAAAACAGCAATATGGTTCTTTGACTGAAGACAAAGATAAAGCTGGTTCTGCAAAGGTAATAAATCTGGGCATGTAAAAAAAGTAACCGTAACTACTAATAACAGAATACACACTGAGAATACAAGCGGGTTTTAAATCAACTAATAAATTAATGGGATGCACAATCAGAAAAATACTTGCCTCTTAAGAAATGTTCAAAACCTTTTATTCCACCTCAGACTGACGGAATGATCGGTTTTCCTTTAACATTGGTTGTTCTGAATCCAAAGTAATTTTCCAGCGACGAAAAAAAAGCAAACATGTCAAATAAAAATGCTTTACAAGGAGCAAATGTTCGCACCTCGTGCATTTCACTCAGAACTCCAGCAACAAACAAACCCCTGAAACAAACACAGTACAAGCTAGTACAGAAAATCCCGCCTTGAGCCTGCGGTATGGGATGCGCAGAAGCTTGCGCAGAACGTTTTTCCGCCCTGAATGTCAGTCCCGGGGGTGGGGCATTTGCAAAGTTTGCACTGCCTGGGGGCCTGGCATTTACCAACTCCGGGGCCATGCCCAAGCTTTTGACCTGCCAGCAGTTTCCTATCAGAATATAACTACACAGAAGGTTTTACTGAAAAAGATGCAGATTGGCTCATCTGTCAAGGACAGGAATAAATTGAAGAGGGTTGTAAAGGCATGTTCTCAATTTTATGTATGCATTTCTTCATTGCTTATCAAGCAAGAATTTATACATAGCGAAAACTGGAGCTATCGATGTGATCAACATTTTTTGGGTATTGAA